TGCTCCTACATTGTACAGGTGTAAATGGCAACTTGCCATGCAAGGTGATGGAGAATCAGGATCATTACATGGTAATTAGACCCCAAAAAGCAGCCCTACATATGGGTTTAGCACAAAGTAGCTGAAGTGCTTGTCTGGAGCTTGAGGGATTTCCCCAGAAGTCATGAGCAGAGCAGGATTTTGCCTCTATGGTCTGAAGCACAGTAGCAAAGAGTGACCTGTTTGCCTAGCCATGCAAAATCATTCAGAAGGTCAACAGGGCCAATGCTGATGAATTCTGGTGTCTCATCCCCACTGAGAGAAGGGGGGGGAGCTCAAAGGAAAACATAATTGCTTGCTCAAACCCATAAAAAAAACAATTACTGTTTTCCTTGACTCAAAAAGTAATTAGGCAGATAAAGCTGGGTGTTACTGGACTGGCATTAAAATAAACTGAAGGAAAGTTGTTATGAACCCTGCCAACTAGAGATGCTGCCCTGTGTGAACAGACAAATGCTGGGACACACTGGGTACATCTACACATGTACTTTATGTGCACTAGTCTATTTTAATATACATTACAACATCTCACAAAAAACTGTGGACTTTTGCTAATGAGCATTAAAAGAAGCTAACGTACCTTTTTTAATACCTCACAATGGAGGTACTAAATTTAATACACATTACCATAGCACATTAATGAATGTGTAGACACGCCCGCTACAGACACTTCAATGTTTAGGTCGCTGGGTCAATCCAGCTCAGATCAGCATTTGCTATTTGCAGAATGTGCATTGTAACCCAGGAACACCCAAGGGTGTGCCCCGTTCTCAGTTGGAAGGGACAGATGAGGCAGGTGACAGTGCTGTGAGAGGGACACTGGTGATTTGAGCGTGGGTCTCTCTTTTCTCTATAGAGTCAACTCCATGCCAATGCTTTTAACTATTTAGTTTATTGAATTATAACATACGTATTACTTCTTATTCAATATATATAGAGAGAGATAAATATACTAATAGGTAGCAAAAGAAAACTTTTCAAAAATACCCTTAGCAATATCTTTTAACACCAAAGGCATACAGATAAATATTTACAATACAATAAACCAAAAACCCATTATACCAAACTAACCCAATTCCATAACATTTTGTACAACATATTCATAATTACAATAACAATTATACAAAATATGAGGTGCCATTTTACACGATAAGGTGCGTTTACCCCTGGATCCCAGCTAGTAAGGGGCGCTTCCCCTTCTTTGGGTCTAGCTGGGAGAGAAACTTCCACCCAGGGCCTCCCTCATGCTGGGAGGGGGGGAGTTACCTTATTTCCAGAATGCCTCCCCTGCAGGACCCAACTCTACCAGCAACTTACAGTTTTCTTCGAAGAGCCATCGACCGGGCCTCAGAGCCCTTTGCTCAATCAGCGGCCCCACCAGCATTGTCTGTGTCACTCCGAGACCTCCCCTCCTGGCTGTGTACCCTGCTTTGGGCACCGAGGGTTTTTCCAACTCTTGTGGGGGGGAACCTAGCCGCTGCTAAGTAGTACATTGTGAGCTTCTGCACATTAGAGATGTTAAATTTGCAAGAGGTCTTGCTTTAAGCAATAAAGTCTGCAGCTTTTTTTGCATTATTTCTTACATCCTGATGCAAAAAACGTAAGTCTGTGACTGCTTCTGTGCGCCAGCGTGCAAGAGTGTGAGGGGATTCAATATGGTAGATTTGGGGAGCGAGAGATGTACTCAGATTCTCCCTCCTGGAGACATGAAAGTTTTCCTTTATTCTCAAGTGAAAGTAACCCAGACGGAGTGTGCACACTTTGTTCTTTGCACATGGGAAAATATAGAAATATTCTTTCCACACTTATCTACCTTAAATGCCAAACCCTTTCTCCTTATGTCTTTTAAACATGTATAAGTAGCCTGTGGAACTCATTGACACAAGAAATTACTGCAGCCAAGAGCTTGTCAGGATTAAAAAAGTGGAACATTTATATGGATTATGAGAATTTATAACCATGCCAACACTCTAGGCCTTTAAATCTTTATTATAAAGGCTCGTGCATCAAGGCATAAGCCACTCGTTAAGTTATAAAGAGTTGTGAAAAAAATCTCTCTGTTTACAGATTATTCTATAATTGCCCACTGAATGTTTCTCACGTGTTTCTTGGAATCAGCTGCAAGTGGACACTGGTGGAGTGCCAAATGGTCCCTTGGGTCTAGTTGGGTTTGGCAATGCATCTGTTCCTATGCACATATTAGAGCAAGGGAAATATTTTGTCAAATAATAATGAATTTGCCTTTTCTCTGTTGACAATATTTTCTGTAAACAGATTAGATCATGTTTCACTGTTATTCAAAATGTCTTTAATTTAGATATTGTCACAAGTCAGGGCAGCAGACAGGCCAATTGGCCCTAAGTTGGCCCTGGTTGTGTCTAGCTGCCAGTGGCTTACTTCCAGCTGGCCCTAGTTGTCTGCATGGGCATGGCTGCCTGCTTATAAGCAGCTGCTCTTGCAGTGCCCAGTGGGCTATTCAACAGAACAGATGCCCGTCTCGTTAACCCAGAGTTTCTGATTCCATGTTCCTGGTTCCTTTCGTAAATCCTAGGTTCCCCATTCCCAATTCCTACCTGCTGGCTCGTTGTTCCAGACTCCACCTGGAGCTTTTGCTCCAGAGTTGTTGGCTTCTGGCCCTCTCCACTCCCAGCCTCATCCTGTCAGCATTACTGTCCCTGGGCTCAGTGTCAGTATTTAGATAGGAAAGCCTAGCCTGTTTAATCTGTTCTAATACTTGCCAGCTGAATGAACAAGTACTGATGGAGAGAAGGCTCCATTTGCATTTTGGCATGTCCCAGACCCCATACATCAAATATTTGGTGGAAACTGGAAGACACCTGGTTACAATTCCCCCTGCCTCTGGAATTCACAGGCATGAGGCAATTCCTTGTAGGGGGAGTAGCTCTTTTGTGGCTACAGCCAATTGTGATTCCTCATGTCCATCTGACACACTATAGTTATAAGCACAGCAGGCTGGCATAGGTCACTATGCAAGGCCACCACTAACTAAGGGAAACTAAGGATTCCAGTTTATATAGCCCCTTTCTGTGGTGTACAGAAATCGTACACCATCCTCTAATGCAGGGCTGTCCAACTGGTGGACTATGAGGGGTTAAAATTGTAGTCCATACACTCTTGCCCTGGGTCTGCTCTCCCCATCATTCCTGCTCTCGCTGTCATAACCAGGGTCCCTCTTCCAGCTTTCACTTCCTGTCCCCATCCCTGGGGGTGGACCAGTATGGCAGGCAGCCCCCACTGCTCACAAGTTGGACAGACCTGTTTTAACGTATAGTTGCCTGGAAGATGCTAATTTTCCAGGGCAGACATTGAAGGTTGTGATATAATCCTGTCTCCTTATTCAGACTGAGCTCGCTGTGATGTCACTGGGAGCCATGCTTAGGAATAAGTCGAGCAAAGATCTTTCCGGCAGGGCTGTGCTAACCGATACTCCTCAAGGTTCCTACCTAGGCGGCAGTGGTCTGAGTCCAGGTTTTATACCAAGAAAAAAATAATAGGAAAAAGAATGCAGCTAAAGGAGAAGGCAGGCAGGGTACCTGAAACAGAGCTGCCCAGAAGGAGATGTTGCTTTGCCAGCTTGTCTTAGGGATGAGCCACATGCTGACTGTGAATGGGAAGAAACATCAGCTAGGGTGGATGAGGGATAGAGTGCTGTAATTAGACAGGAGCATAACACATCATAACTAAGCTTCCTCCAGAGTCTTGAGTTGGAGGGGAGGGGTGGTATGTCTTAATTTTGTTGGTCTCATTTCCAAGCACAACATGCTTCTGATTTAGGATTTCTCCTCTAGACACAAGTAGGAAATCCATGTCTACCACAGATAGCAAATCAGCAGCAGAGCCAAAAATGCAGCCATGGCGCACCTAAAGTATCTGGCTGTCGGAGAACCGGAATAGGGTAGTTGTATCTGGCTCTCAGAGAACCAGAACTCATCTTGCTGCTGTTGTGTTTCAAAGCCACAGGGAAAGTAGCAATTTTAAAAAATTGCCCTGGTACCCCTAACATGTTGGGTCCTATAGACACAAGACTCACTTGTTTCCAGGGAGGTAAAATTAAAAGTTGCCCTCAAAAGAAATTCAAGCTGGGAGGCTTTATCTGTTTTTGTTATTGCTAAATCCCTCCAATTTGGTCATGTTGAAAAAAGTCGGTATCCATTGGATTCCATTTAATCATTCAAAAAGGAGCTACTCAGAGAGAAAAAAAAGCAGCCTGTTTCTTTCTTTCCCTCATTACTGCCTTTTAAAGTTATTGCTGATGGGCTTAAATGCAAACGAAAGAAACAAAAAGAGCGTGCATCAAACTAGATGCAATTCCAGTAATTGCTGCTTTTTCTTTCCTTTTAACCTGAGGCTTTTTCCAACTCCATTTTGATTGACATTTTGGATGAAATGTCAGGCACCCCTAGGTAGAAAGCCCACAGTCTGAATTCAGAGTTGTAACATTAAACTAGCTTGTCTCAATAAAACAGCTGTCTGGCTCAACCAAGATGGATGCCAGTCATTTCTGTGGTAGGATCCTAGCCGGTTAGGTGCTGGTCATGCATGTCTGTGAAATAACTGATGAAAGTCCCAAACCCACTCGGAGCCAGAGACTGATGGAAGCGACACTGGCTGAATACTTCACACTGGTTCCTTCACCAAGTATTCACTGCAGCTGTTTCCCTTTTATCAGCTTAATAAGAGATAATGTTGTGCTCATTGCCAATTGTAAGTCCCAACCCTATTACAAGATGGCTGCGTGTGGATGTTCATTGATTGCTGGTCTTCTTGGCTGTTCCCACCCGGGAAGCAGATGGCATACTAGTTAGACGCTAAAGTCAATAACTGAAATGTGACTGCTCTAGTTCCCACTCTTCCACAAACCGGCTGGGCTATGTAACCTTAGGCAAAGTGTAAAATCCTGTGAAGTTTCCCTGTCCATAAAATAAGAAACATAACCTCACATGGAGAATGCCTGAAGACCTTTAAGTTAAAACTATTCCAGAAGGTCAATGAGGAGTAGTGTTTTATTTCACTATGGCAGCCATCCATAACTTGAGATTGCCCCTTCTTTGTTGTGGTTTTCAAGCAAACTTAGTTTTAGGTTTGTCCCTCCAAAATTCTTGACTTGAAATTGGAAAAGTATCAAGTAGTCTCTGTGCTTACAATGCTGACATTTCCTTGAAGATTAACAGCATTCTGTTTCTTCCTGTAAATAATTGTAATTAGTATAAAATAATGCAAATGAAAATCAGTGCCATGCTCTGATGGCTGACACCATTTAAACACCCCATGGAAGTGGAGATTGTATCAGTAATGTGCATTCCTGATATTATCTCATCACTATGAGAAATGAATAGTGTTGGAGGAAGGCACTCCTAGAGAACCATGCTGAGGCTGGATAGGATGTGAACAGAAAGAAAACCCCATGATCTTCTACCAAAAGAGGGGGACCTCATCCACCTGAGAAGACAGATGCTTGCATTTGTGCATCTTCTCCATGCATTAGAGGCACATAGGGATACATTAATCTAGAAAGAGTGTTTGGACAAATTAAACAGAGATTAAAATCTCCGCCCTGCATTATTAGCCTGTAAATGTTAATCTTCAAAGGCATCTTGAGAGACAAGGTAATTATTACCCTGCAGAAACTTTAAAATGGCCTTTATCAGATCACTTCCAAATGCCTCATGTTTTTTCCATAGTGAATTACTGTAAACGAGTCCCACAAGAACGGCAAACTAGGCAATAGCAACAAAACAACAAGGCTTCTTTCCCAGCCTCTGCTCCCTTGTTCTGCCTGGTCTCTGGCTCGTTCACTCACTAAAGACTTGTTGCCCCTTTCCTGCCTTTGCAGGACTTCAAATACAAGGGAGTCCGTCTGGTCACAGCTCCACAAGGTGCTGTCAAACCCTGTAGGGCAGTTAGGACGGGGTTAGGAGGGGCAGGCCTCCCAGGGATTGGGAGAAGTAAGGAAAAATTGGTGAGAAGAGTAGCTAGATAGATGCACCAGCCAAAACCCCTAGGGAGGAAAGACCGTTGGAAGGTATGATTTCAGACCCCCGTTCTACTCCAGGGCCTGGGAGAGAGGAATATAGCTATTTCCAGTGGTCAGCAACCTACACCTGGTGAATCAGATTGAGCCCTCAAAGAAAATTTTATTATCTGGTCTACCCAGTACGGCAAAACTGATATTGTCATGGAAACGTATATATCCCACTAAGTTTTCTATGAGAATGTGTCATCTAGTGCTAGAATATTTAACAATTGCTGCCTCCAGCCACCATGTTCATTCAGCCACCTGTTAGTGAAAGGCGGCCAACCCTGCCCACAAGGAGGAGTTGATTTTTCCCAAGTCAAGTATTCTTCGGGCTTTTCCCTTTATCTTTGCCTCCTCCACAACATCAGCTATCACTTCTTTGGTTTTACATTTACTTTGGGGGACATTTGAGCTCTGTTTTGGAGACCATGGCTGATTACTTGAAGAAAGAGGGGTTAGTTGTCTCAGTTGAAACCCCAGGACAGAATAAAAACAGCATTCAGGGTCCGGAGACAGGAGATAAAGAGCCAAGACCAGTGCTTTGCAGACCAAAATTATATTAAATTAAAAACATAGTGGAAGAAAAGTTTACTGTGGTTGACAAAGAACTCCTCTGCCTCACCTGTCTGGTTTGGAACAGGTATTTATCTGTTCAAAGCATTACTTGCAAAGCTTTCTATTGGACCAAGTGAAATATGTTTAGGCCTGAGCCTTTAGTGAAATAGGTACAATTCATTTCACCCGGCCTCAAAAGGCAAAAGAAGAGGGAAGAGAAGCTGAATTATAAATTGCATAAAAATCTTAAAGGCAGGAAGAGGAACAAACACCAAAGACAACGTAATTCTGAAGACACAAACTAAAGGGGACTCTCTGTATCACAGAAAAAATGAGCGGTGCATCACACTTCCATCAGAATGGGGACCAGGGAGCATCAAGGTATCAAGTCATGGCCTCAAATCCAGAGCCCCAGCCCCTCACTTCAGTCTGCTACCTTTCCAGCTGACCATCCAGCCTGAGCAAAGCTGGCCAGAAACCTCCATGTGGGTCTAGCCACCCACTCACTCCCTGCAACTGGAGTGTCCAGCCAGGGTCAACCGACCCTTCATTCCCCGCTGTATAAACCTCTGACCTGGAAGAAGCAGCCCATACCTGGATTCTCCTTATTCCTCCTGACCCCGCTCAGCCTCTTGACCCCAGACCTGGCCACCCTCATGTGACCAGGGAAGTAAAGAGGCACCAGGAGATAGGAAATGAAATTTAAAAATGTTTTATGCCTAACATGGTGTTCAAGTGTTTCTTGACAATCATCATAAATAATCTGTCCACCAGAGATTGTAGGAAAAATGAAAATGTTAAATTGCTATTACCTCAGGTCTGAACTAATAGCCAAACTGATGAATAGCAACATGGCTCAGTGCATGTGAAAGCATAAAGATTAGTTTTACACAACAAACACAGGGAAGGAAAGATCAAGTGTTTGGCTTTAAAACCCTGAGGATTTAAAAAAAAAAGGCTAGAGATTCAGGACAAGATTTTCAGCTGCTATAAATCAGACATTTCTGCACCAGCTGAGGATGTGTTCTTCCATTTTGAGTAAAGAAGGTTTATGTTACATCTGAATTTTGTTATATTCAATTGCACTTATTCCATAAGGCATCTGAGATATTAAATGAGCACAAAAGGAAGAAGATGGCTGCACACTCTACAAAAAGGCCCAAAAGTTAAAATATAAAACAGCAGCAGGCTACTCCTAACATCCTTTTACATTTACTGAACTATGGATATCAGAATAGGATTAATATTTAAGTGGGTTCCTCCTTGGGTTTTCTCTTCAGAAATACATCAATGCTTAGCTTAGTTCCTCAAGGTGAGAGATTATTATTGATACTTACACTGTCTTTCTTTGGCAGCTGCTTTCTCTGCTATAATTGACCCTGTAAATGGATTTCTGTTGTCTGGTGCACAAAGCCTTGGTTCTGCATTAATTCACTCTGGAATACTAATGCCATGACTTTATAGGCTACTCAATCACCAGAGATGTGAGACCTGTCCCTCTTGGGTCACCTCATCGTTAACAGCTGCAAGTAGTACCATTTCCCCTGCAAACATTTTAGAAAGAACAACCAAAGCGGCCCTCCCTAGAATAGATGGCCTATTTTTCGCTAGTGGCATTTCTCACTAGAATAGATGGTCTGTGCATTCAAAGCCTCTCTACACTTACAGCTCAGAAACACAAAATTGATGCAGAATGAACAGTTTTGAAACACAAGACAACTGCATCCATGTGCAGGAATTTCTTTGTTCCTGTAACTCCTTGCCCCAGTAACTGCAGAAAGCCTATGGCACTGCATGGGAGAGAGGTATCTAGGCAGACAGCAGAGAGGCTTATTTTTAGCCTTGCTAATTTCTAGAGCGGGGAAAATTATTCCAAATTAGCCTCGTTGTTGTTGTTATTTTCACAGAACAGCCCAGTATACGATGCGTTTCAGTCCTTGATTCCTTTCAGCTCTGGACTCTGAACAATTAATACCCACATAATGGAGCTTCTCCAAATGCATATGGCTTTAAGAGTATGCAGGGCTGCTGTTGTCTCCCACCCCCTGCCTGGAGGGACCTGCACAAACAAAGCTATTAGAAGAGAGAAGAGCTTAGGAGATGAAAAGTTCTGTTGAGAATACTTTTTGTTCTGCTTTTATACTTGGAAAGCATTTTTTTAGAAACTTTTGAATGCCTCTGAAAGGCTCACAAGCAAGAGCTGGAGGACTCTGAGGAGTCCTTATGTCTCAAGTGAAGGTAGCTAAAGGGTTTCTCATGAGTGGCAAGAGGTGTTTGGGAGGGGTCACTGTCATAGCCACAGCTAGGAGTTATTCTGGGACTCCCTACTGTGAGACCAATGTAGAATTGATTCCTTGTCCCAGGAACCAGCAAATTCAGGGAATTTATCCTGTTCTCTTATTATGACCTGAATATTGTCCCTGTTATGCTGTGTTAAGCAAGGTGAGCAGCCCAACTACTAGCACTTAGACCTGTAGCAGTCTTTGGCTGAAAGCCCTATCCTGGATTAAAAGAACTAGCAATGTTTAGCTTGGAAAAATGATATTAAGTGGGCATGATGGTTTTTCAAATAGTTGGAAGGCTCCCATACCGAAAGGAAAAATTGTTCTCCCTTGACACAGGGGGCAGGGCACATGACCCTGGGCTTAAACTACAGCAAAGCAGATTTAGATCAAATTCCAGGAAACCTGTAAAAACCACAGGGCAGTGGAACAAGCTGCCTAGGGTAGACATGAAATCTCTTTCATTGGGGTTTTCCACAAAAGGTTGGACAGGCCTCCATTTGGCATGGTTTAGGAACAGCAAATTTCTGCAAGAGGTTGGACTAGAGGGACCCTGTGGTCCTTTCCAACCCCATGATTCTATAGGTGAAGCACTCTTTGGTACAAGAGACAATTTGTTTCCATTTCCTCACAGAGCCCAGTACTCCCAGTACAAAGTAGGACAGAAATGGAGCACCCCAGTCACACTTACATAGTGTCAAATCCTCACAACAAGAAGGAAACCCAGAATCCAAGTTGTATATCTACACCCGGTGCATGGTGCATATTATGGAAACATTCATTTGCAAAAAAAGAAAGCCTTTGTTCTTCCCCTTGCGTCTTATTCCCCAAGGGAATTACCTTGACTAAAGGGTACTGCTCCTCCTGTGACACACTTAAAGTCAGTGGCAGGGCTGAGAGCAGAATCCAAAAGCCCCTTGATCAGGGGGACCCTTTTTAGCAAATTTGACCATCACCCAGGCAAAGAGCAGACGGAGTTTCTACTATGAAAGGGGAACTTTGGCAGGGAAGAATTAATGGAGAATCCTTTCAAGGAGATGACTTGTTGGGTAATAAAACAAATCCTCCTTTCACAAAGGGGCCTGCTATATTTTTCACCACCTCTTCTTTATTGCTACAACTTGAAAATCAAATACAGTGATTTAAAGCCTTTTGTAGTACCAATTCTGCTCCCAGCTGACTCTGCTCCAACATAGCTGCAGTGTGATTAGCTCTCCTGGCTAGTGCAGCAGGCACATCTCTGCTCTAGGCCATTCAGACTCAGGAAGCTCTCTCTGTTGCTAGAGTCCCTGGCAAGAGTCAGAGCTTTTACAAAGCAGAATGTCAAAAATA